TATACCTCTATTCAGTTTTTATCTCGTTATTCAAGACTCGATCACTGTGCCATTTTTTCATGTGTTTCTCCAGGGTACTGTACACGCTAAAAGGCATCTTACAAATCTCGCATTTGTAAACGTCCTTTCCCACCTGCCCGTGTGTTTTCATGTGCCGGGTGAGCTTGCTACTCTGGGCGCAGGCGTAGTTGCAAAGCTCACACTTATACGGCCTCTCGCCCGTGTGGCTCCGTCTGTGGACGGTGAGATTACTACAGTTCTTGAAGACCTTCCCACAGTACTCACAAGTGTCGCTGCGTCTGCCCTCTTTTGAGCTGGGCCTGCCAGGGCCCGGGCCACTAATATGGGGGGTGCTCCCTCCGCTTCCCGTGCCGCTGCGGCCTGAGATCCCTCCGTCCAGCTCGCCCGGCGGCGTGGAGAAGCGCAGGCTGCCGTTCTCCGAGGAGTGCTCGGAGGAGGAGGCGAAGGGCGATTGTCGGGAGTCGCCGAAAGTGAGGAAGGGGTCCTTCAGCTGCCGGGAGGCAGCGTAGCCCGCCAGCCACTGGGAGTAAACGTTCTCGGTGTTGGGCATGGCGGCGGCCGGCAGGTCGAACTCCTTCTCCAGCTTGATGCGTTTGGAGAAGGGGCTCAGGGAGCTGGGGCTACCCAGCAGCAGCTTTTTGGACAGGCCTCCCGAGGCAGACTCCCCCGGGGAGCAGCCCCGGCCGTTGACGGCCCCCTCGTCGATGCGGTCGGACTCGCCGGCCACCGAGTCTTCGTCGCAAGTGTCCCTGTGCACCTCGGGCTCGGGGAGGTGGCCCCGCTTGTGTTTCTCCCCCAGGACCTGGTGGAAGGCCTCGCTGAAGTGCTGCATGGAGCTCAAGACCATGCCCTGCATGACGTCCGGCATCGCCCGGCCCTCCTCGCCAGCCCGCGAGTTGTTCTCGTGGTGACGGGCCGCCTCCAGGCTCATCCCGAAGCCATAGTCCGGCCTGTCGCTCTCGTTCAAGTCCTCCTCCTCTTCCTCCTCCTCCTCCTCCTCTTCCTCCTCCTCCTCCTCCTCTTCCTCATCCCCGTTCTCAGGGATCATGTTGGGGTCATTCTCGGTCTTGAACTTGGCCACCACGGACTTGAGGGCGCTGCTGGCGCTGCCCACCAGGTCGCTGGTGCCCGGCTCAGGGGAGCTGGCGGCGGAGAGCCCGTCGTCCGACTTCACTGTCATGGGGGAGGACTTGTGCATGTGGGTCTTCATGTGGCGCTTCAGCTTGCTGGCCTGCGTGCAGGCGTGGTCGCAGAGGTTGCACTTGTAGGGCTTCTCCCCCGTGTGGCTCCGGCGGTGGACCACCAGGTTGCTCTGAAACTTGAAGGTCTTCCCGCAGAACTCGCAGGACTTGGACTTCATGGGGGGCTGGGAGGGAGGAGGAGCGGACTGCAGAGGAGGAAGGGGCGGCGTGGCCAGGAACGGGGGCTTGCTGCCGGGCTGGAAGGGCTGCAGCAACCTTTGCATAGGGCTGGGCCGGCTCGGGGACAAGGGTGGGCTGGAGGTGTTGCCGGCCAGCTCCCGCAGCCTCCGGGAGAAATCCATAGCGGGGGGCTCCATCGCCATGGGGTTCAGTCGCAGCACCCTGTCAAAGGCACTAGGGTGATGGGTGGCCAGAGCCATTTCTTCCGCACCCAGGCGCTCAATGCGATGCGGATCCAAATGGTGCCTCGGGGGAGGGCTAAAGAGGGGCGGCGTGGGTGGGAAACGCCCTTCTCCCAGCCCCGACGCCTCCCTCGAGACCGAGCCGGGTATTCTGAGCAGGTTAAAAGGGTTATTGTCTGCAATGTGAATCCCGTGGAGAGGTGGCTGGGAAGGGCACTCTGCACCTAGTCCTGTTGGGATACCAACCCGTGGCGTCAGGGGGCTGCCGTGCTCGCTTTCTAGGTAGATCCGTAAGCCGTGCGTGTTCTGTGCGTGCTGCAAGAGGAACCAGGCGCTGTTGAAAGGCTGTTTACAAGTCGTACACGTGTAGCTGCTGGGCTCATCTTTACCTGCAAAATAACACAACAAGCAGCGTCAATCTCCAGCCGTCTAGCGGCGGGCGAGCGCTCGCCTCCCCGCCTAACCTCCTCTCCTCCTCTGGGACACTCAGCTGGGAGCTGGGGAAGGAACATCCCAGCTGAGGGACAGGCAGGGGACATGAACGGGGAAAGGCGAGATCCAAACCCACACCAAGCACATCCACCTCCTCCCACCATGCCCAGCTCTGGGTTCAAAACTGAACCATGCCGGGTAACCACAGAATGAAACAGGCTAAGAAATGTTAAAGTCAACCAACGCCAGCTCCAACTCAGCAGACTTCATGCTGCAAGACGCTACAGGCATTTAGATTGTTGGTAAATAAATACGTAAATAAATATATAAATAGATGAATAAATATAAAATAAAGAAATCCCCTTCTGAAAAGCACTCCACACAGATCAGTTCAAAACAACTGCCAGCAGGCTGGGCATCAACGCGTTTTTTTTAGTCTCCTGCTTATTTTGAGACTAACAATGTGTACAAAATTAAGAATCAACTTCTGCTCCTTAGCAGAGAGATTCACCTCCGGGGCAGGGAAAGAAATAAAAAGAAAAAGGGAAGGGGGGGAAAAAAAATTGAGCATGGGACAGGGAAAGGGGAAGACAGAGAGAGCGGCAGCTCCGCCAGGGAAAGAGCTGGAGGGTGGCCAGGAGGCCTGGCCGAGCGCCCTGCCGGAGCCGCATTATTTCTCTCGCGCTGAAAAGAAGCTGAGGATGGTAAATGCCACTTTGGCAAGTAGTGAGCTAACTCTATTTCATGATAATTTATTTTTGGAGATAACATGGACATTATAAAAGAGCAACCAACTAATAAATAACTAAACAAAAAGCCGGCTAATAATGACAGCAGAAAGCAGCCCCTTCTAATATATGGCAAAACAAGGGGGATGAATAACTTTTTGAGGGCTGCCTGCGAGGGAACAGCGGCGTGAGATATGGTGAAGGTGAGGGTGCCTTTACTGATTACTGGGATTTTGCAAATAATTCACTTCCACCCCCATATGGATGCTTTTTGCTAAATGTTGGTAAACCGAAGCTGGAGCTAAAAGAAAGATATAAATTCATTTCCAGCCCTGTTCAGCAGTTCTCACAGAGCTGTTGTTTAGTGATATTTTAACAAATAAAAGTAACGTTGATGTTTGCTGAGAGATAAACCGGGAGCTCTCCAAGGGCATCAGCGCTTGGGGTGGTACTGGCATTCACCACATATTCCTGCCCTGACCCAACATTTACATCCCAAGAAATCTGCTCCTTAGGCATCTCTCTTGGGTAAACAGGCTGCACTGAGAGTTGCCCTCATTAGGTTTCCCCTATTTGCTTAACACAAAGAAAAGGAAAATTAAAAAAAACAAGTAAGGCGAATTTGGAAAGGGAACATCGCTTTATCTGTGCCCCATCTCACAGGGGAGGAGAGGAGGAAAAGCATCATGTGGGCATTCTCCTCCTCGATGATCTGGGGATACAGGACAGAACCAGGCATCTTTAAGGTCCCTTCCAACCCAAACCACTCTGTGATCCTATGAGATCCAGCACTGGCTGTACTGCTCCATCCCAGCTTCCCTCCCTGCCTCCCAGCTCTGCCACTATTCTACGTCTGGCCTGAGAAGCTGAATCAGGCAAGCATAAGAGCCTCAATCATCTACAGCAGGCATTTAACACTTTAATCACTTTAAAAGCCCGTGGAATAATATTTAATGTTTCATCCTGAAGCCTGCATTGGAATAAAACGCACTGTTGTGTTCAGTAAGTGCCAGGCATGTGAGCCCAGATAAATACTTAAATCTGCTGAAATTAGAGGGAAATTCAATTGGACTTCCACATTCCTATGCTCATTTGTGAGCTTGGGGGGAAAGAAAATATTATCTTGCTTCATCATAATGAAGTGGAAGTTTTTAACACCATGGTAGGAGCTAACAACGAAACTACTTCGCCTCTCTACCTTATAGATCAGGTCAGAGAAAATAGCGTTTTATCTTATAATGAGGATACAACATCGAGCGTTTGCTACCACATTTTAGTATTCCCATCAACTAGATATTCTAGATCATAAGGGCAGCTCGTGTAATCATAATGTCAATGAGAAGGGCTGTTACGACTGAGACTAAAGATTACATGGAAAAAGCTGCTTTGAAACTGGTAATTATTACCAGTCCACTAATAGCAAATGATGCATTACAGTTTCACCGTATAATCTGTATTTCACTCAGCTCCTGCCAGTGCGGCCTTATTATATTACAGTGCTCACAAATTCTAAATTCCTAAGCTACAGTCATCAATAAATGTGTTACTTGCCATAATTTGCAAAATTACTTTGTTCATAACATCTTCGACTGTTATAAAGACTGGAATTGATTTCCTGCGTGGCAAAATTAGGGCTACATTGACTTAGTGGAGTGTAAAATGTAAGATTATTCTTCATGCGCTTGCCTGAAAAACAAGTTTTCAATTCACTGTCCGTGTTTGGTAATCAAGATAATAATTTACATTTAAAATCATGTTTATGTATAAAACTTCCCAAAGCAACCCAGCATTTAAGGGAGCAACGTAAAACCAGGCAATAAAACAAAGGAGCGAAACAGTTAAAATCCACCAGCCATTTGTCTCCACCTCCTGCTCTGAAGAGACATGATTTCTAATTTGTCTATTAGTGCTTGATTAATTATGAAGGCTATTGACTGACCATATCACCACCTAGAGATACGTTCCAGTCTGACGCAGCCTTGCCAAACTGCAAAAATTATGGCACTAATCCACAGCAACACGATGGGTCCTTAGACCGCCGTGGCAGTCCCTGGGTGTGGAAGGGACCCGCCCTCCCTTGCTCCTATCCCACCACCTCCATGGGTTTTTTGGGACACCGTTTGGGTCCCCTCAAGAGTCAGACCCAAAGGCCATATCCACGGATGTCTCCTTACAGTGTGGGCCAGCCCCTGTGTCCACGCAGCCTTCACAGCAAACCCATGTGGGTTCACAACAGGGAGATGCAGAAGCTGGTGTTGGCCAAGGACAGAGCTGGAGAAGGTCCCATAGGGCTCTTTGTGCCTCACCATCCACCAGGACAATGTGATGGGATATGTCTTCCACTGTGGTGCCACCTGGGCTTTCAGCTGATTTCCAGGAGTCAGGAGTCACGGCTGAACCAGTCCACCTTGGCCACCAGCAGCGGGGCTGGAGCTCCCATCCTTGGCCACTTCTCAGTTCAGGAATTTGAGGGCTGAAAGGGTCCCCTCAAGGGACCCCCGAGCCTCTGACCCTCCCTGTCACACATGTCACTCTGAGACCAACACAGTGCCTTCCAGTAAAGCACAACCCCCTCCAGCCCTGCAGAGCACAAAAACCCAGTGAAATCTATTCAAACCAGCTCAGCAGACAGGGAGAGCACCCACTGCTTGCTACCACAGTCAGTCCCCACAGCCAACCACACCCACAGACAGGTATTGGGATCCACCTGAACTTCTCTAGCTCTAAGCTCTACCCGTTCTCTTAATATTTTGAGGGGTTTTGTGGTTGCAACACTGAAAAGCTCTTGATACACCAATGGGCTCCTCACACACATCAAGGTGTTCTTCATGAAATCGAGGCACACTTCAAAATCCAGCTGATTTTCCACCCTGAAGCCCCCCCCTCCAGTACTCAAGGACCAGCCTAGCCCTTCTCATCCTGGTGTCATGCTGGGAAGGACCTGATTTTCCTCTCAGCTTCCACAGAGCTGATGCCTTCCAGGGTACTGCACCCAGCTCTGCAAGCACAGCCCTGATTCCACTCTTCCAGCCAAGGACCACGTGAGGCTGGACACGATTCTTCTCAGCACGTCCTTCCTGACAAGTCTTTCCAGATCACCCCATTAACCTGCTCCTCTTGCTCTGCACCCGCCTTTGCTTTACCCACAGCGCCAATTGTATATTAATTTCTACATCAAATTGTATATTAATTTCTAAATCACCAACAAAGCACTAAGCACCGAGGCCCCTACCAGCAGCTGCTGAGCTCTCCAGCTAAAAAGCTCCACATCCCTAAATCTGCTTCACCTGTGCTGGCAGTACCACCCAGTGCTCTGTCTTCCCACAAGCAATGTCACAGCACTGTGCAGTCTATTTCATCTACATTTATCAACCAAAGCTGTCATCTAGAAGAATGAAATCAGGTTTATTTGACAAGATCCATACTCCATAAATCTAGGCTGAGTGGCACGAATTATATTTCTACCCTTTAATTCTTTATCAATTGAATCTTATGTTGGTTCTACCGTTATTTTGCCCAGAAGAGATAAGCAAAAGCGTTGCCAACTCTCCCACATTACCCTGGCCAGCTCTTGACAGCATTTTCCCAGTTCATAAGCTTTTTTAAAAGCACCATGTCAACTCTTCGGGGTTCCTCAGGTGCACCTTTTCAGACCCTTTTTATTTTAAAATATTTCTCTCCATTGAAGGAGAAATATTTTTTTTCTCTCTGCTCATATAAAAAACCTTCCCTGGCTACCACTGAGCTAGAAAAAAACATCATCACCCACCTATGATACAGAAACATAACATGGTTGCTCTCCAGGTCTACAGCAGAAGTATTTACCAAAAATTTCTACCTTACTGTTTCTTTCATTTATCCCTTCCTTCTTCTCCAGAATCCTGAGCAGCTCTCTCTTTCTCCTTCTCTCCTCACTGGTGCCAGGCACAAGTTTTCCTCGGCATCTCCAGCTCTCCTGACCCGTTCCCTACCCGCCATGGTTTCTCGCTGCGATTGATTGCTATCCATTTTCCATTTTTTTAATTGTCATATATTGATTTTTTTAATATCTAATTGCTGTTCTCATCTCACCACTGAAGCGAGTGAAGTGGGATTTGGACTGGGGCCAAAGTTGCCCTCTCCTTCCTGGACAGCTCATCAACTCTTTACAAATAGCTTCCAATTACCATTCGCATTTTTGTGTGTACATATTTTCCTCCCAGTCAATTTTACTGCTCATTTTCCTCCTA